TTAATTACAGTTATTACAACACAAGGCAACAGTAAACATTATGAATGAGCATGGAAACACACCACTACATTATGCTTGTTTTTGGAATTATGAAGCCATTGCCTTGGTGTGTATTAGATATCATGTTATGATTTTAATTCCACTTGATAACTGTATAAATAAATTTATTTGAATTTTTTGTGACATGCAATTCATTTTATAATGATATTATCACTAATCCGTATATCACCACAAAGGGATATAAATTCACTAGCTTTTTCATAAATGCTAGCTCAATCAATGCTAGGAACAATACAGCAAGGTCTATATGTCTATTTATCTGGTCATGTGCTTAGTGAAATTTTAGGCACCTCTGCACCCTCTTTCTCTGAAAAAACGTTAATAGAATTAATATAGTAGAACACACATTTCCAAATAGTATATTAGAGTTTTTTGCTTTGTTGGGTGAGTTAATTATTATTGGTGAAGTCTTTGTCTTCTAGGATTATTGAGAAGTGAAATTCTTTTAGGCCGTTCAATTCACTGTGGCATGGCTATCCCCATACAAAATGCACATATTAGTCTTTAATACCCAAACGTTATGTGAAGAAATGCTCAGTTAGGTCTCTTCTTAACATAGAAGCCAGTAGTTAATTCCCAAACCTTATGTCAAGAGTTGTTTCACTGGGTTGTGAATAAGTGCTCTTTTTTAGGAACTGGTTGGTAGAGGGGCTTATGTTTCTCAGTGCAATAAGTATGATGAAACACCCATGGAAAGAAGTAAAGCGCAGCTAGGAAACATAATAAAAGGTGAGCTTTTGTGTATCTTTCAGCAAAAGGCAAAATTTTTATGAGAACAAATGTTGAACCGCATTATGTAAATTGATGTTTGATTAGGTGTTTGTTGGTTTACATCAGTTCTCAAACTTTTTTAAGGTGTGTTGGAAAAAATGCCACCAAATGACAACTTCTTCTTTTGCCCACTTCTTTTGCAAAAAGAGTCAGTTGACCAAATCTCCCCCACATATTTATTTGACAAATGTATCATTTATATAGATATTGTTTTCATTAGAAGTGTAAATGTATCTTTCAGCCTTTCCATAGTGATTAATATTCATTTGTGAATAATTATTGCAATTTTAATGACAGCATCCTTTTCCTAGAAAAAGCAAAATCAGTAGGGCAAGATCTTGCAAGAATTCCATTTCAAGGTTGGTTTGCAAATGTTTATTTTTATCATTTGATTTATGTATAGTTGTCAATGGTGTCTTTGATATTCTTTATAGACTTTGTTTTACCAATTTTTCTCCATTTCTCAAACTTGGAAGTAATGAGTTTTAGTTTTAAAACAAGGATTTGTCATTCCAATTCATTTAGATGATAAAAAAACTTGCAGAGGTGGAGAAGTATACAATGGACTTTTTCAAGGGGCATATCATTCAAAAAAAATTCTGTAAACCTTTGACATACATCCTTTTGTTTTTATGAAAAGTCTCCGAAATCCGTAGAGATCCCATTTTTCTAAAAAGCTTTTAGAAGCGTAGTACACCCCTCCGTCTCTGTGGTCGTCAGGCAAAGTCATTCCACTATTCCTCAATCCGCATATCTGTAAAATAATTTTATATGAGGAGGGACAAGAGTTTCATAACATGATGCAACCTAGGTCCAGACAGAAAGTCTTATTCATTCAATGGTTTACTCTGTTCAGCAAGTTGAGAGCCAAATTATCCTTAAATATTATCATAAAAACTTAGAAGTAGTTCGCATGTATAGTTTGAGTAATTGCTGAGCAATATTTTAAACAATTAGCAGTAAAGTGACTTTGCCCTCGTACTGATTTTCAATTGCAGCTGTCGAGTCAATAATTTAATTGTATTTCTGAGAGTTAAAGTGAAGTGTGATTTGATTAATAATTGAAGTTTTCCCTGATCAATTTTAGAACAAGAGGAAGGAAACTTCAAAGCAAGTAAGTCAAATAATACTCCTCTGTTTGGGTCAATGCAATCACCAACGAAGTATTTAATGATATACATTGGATTCGACGAAATTACATCGGCAGAATGCGTCTATGATACTTGAAAATATTCCCTTTAAATTGTTATGGGGCAGTTCTCTCATAACCTCAATAATTTTTACCACTGGCTTCTGAAAATCAAATTTTCGTACGACTCAGTGTGTTTGGGCAAGACTTCTGGAAGCTTTTTCCCAGGCTTACACGCTTAAACTGAATTTACCTTGTCAATAGTCATTTTGATGGAGTGCAGAGATCAGCTTGGATAATCCTGCTTTATGCCTAATACCAAAGTCGTGCATATATTTTGCGGTAGGCTTTTTATAATCTTTTGACCAAAGCCATACCCACCGTGCTGTAAAACTGAAGAACTTATGCAGATCATCAGAAAAATCACCGCACTAGTACAGCTGCTGTCAATCGCTTTTACCTGTGGCAACCTTTTCCAGTCGCAACCCCCTTTCCAGCGTGTTAACATCGAGTTGTATTTGCAAATAATCTTTTCAGTTTGATACCCCCGGCCGGGGTATACCTGGGGGAACCTGGGGACAGGCATGGCCATTTGAGGAGAGCCATAGCTCTTGCTCCCCTCCAGGCTCCCCTCAAATGCTCAAGGGGAGCTGCAGATTGCCCTCATAAACTGTTTATGTTTATGATGCCCTTCTTGAAATCAATTTTTCCTTTATTTCTATTTTTCATATATCTTTGAATAGCTCACCTGGAAATTACTAGAAGGGCTGTTTTCTCCTGTCTTATGGCCAGGCCTGCATGGGACTAGACAGGGGTCACTTTTTTGCAGTATATTTTATCGAATGCATGGCACGCAAAGCCGGATATTTTGTGTCTACCTGATTTTGGAGTTTAGGCATTTATGTGTTTAGATAAAAGTTAAGCTACACTTTTTTTATTTCTTTTATCACATTTCCCACAGGTTTGGAATTTTTGACCCTTAAATCGAAAAATGCAGGAATTGACTTAGAAGAAATCCATCTTGTCGAAAAAATCAGCGAAACACTACTTGGAGAGGTATTTGCTGTAGCTGATTCTTTTTGTGATCTTTTCCTACTTCCCTCGCAAACCTTCTCTAGTATTGTATTCTAAAATAAAATTATCTTTCTAAACATACAATCAATTTTGATAATGTTAGCTACCCAGTATAAGACTTGAAACTAGCGTAGATTTTTGAACTTTGATACACACAGGGAAATAAAATTAGGCATTCTTCTCTTCTGCTTAGCCTTGATCAGCACCGAGATTTTACTCAGCGGTAATTTTTAGCAAAAAAGTATGCATATAACATTGACTGAAAATGTGAGCACGTGACACGGTTTTCTCTCAGTATATTTTCCCAAATCCTGCTCTGCGCCTGCATACATATATTTCAGTGACGTAGAAAGGATGCGGGCCAGATTTTGTAAAATTGTGATACCATTACGTTGAATACAAGCCAATTATTGCGACAGGAGCATTTCTGGTAAGATTAAATCGAAGTATCTCATCTAGATTCCAGATCATCCTCATCAGTTCCTTGTAAGCATCAAAACTTGTGTTCATCTGTTTTTTAACGCACTGTATTTGAAAAGGGGCGTCATTTATAATGCTTTTGCGGTTTTCATCTTGTTAGCACAGATTTACTTAGTAATTGATATGTCATGTATGTGTATCTTCCAAAGAACCTATAAATTTTCATTTCAATAATTTATCTAGCTTCACAAAGGAGTTTGGAACAACATACCAATCGTTGCTAAAAAACTGAAGATTCGAGGTTTACAGAAAAGGCTCAATCTTCATTTCTGCGAAGAATATCCTAGGTTGAGGTGAGAGCTTAACTTGCTTAAACATGTTGGTTTAGGGGAGATTCCACTTTAGGTTAATCTTCGATTTTCGATCATGTTTTTGGTTCTACAATTGCTCTAAATATTGCCCTTCGACTTATTCGAGGTAACGGATTGGTCGTTAGCTTAGATTAGATTGTAGAATAAGTATAATCCAGAAAATAATGGTTTGACTCGATTCCACCCGACAACCGTGTGTTTACCGCAATCCTACCACGAAGAACTGTGTAACAGTATGTCAACAGAAAGCAAAGAGACTCTAAAACTAGCACGAGTAAATCTGAATATTTCGGTTACTGTTATTGATTTTAATATTTCACTAGGTAAACTAAAATTCTTATGTGTATAATACTTGAAGAAATAAATGATCCTTTCACAGATAGGTCTTTGCAGTCCGTTTCTATTCTGTTTGCAATCCATGTCCCTCCCGTATCCAATCTGCCCTCAATCCTTTTCCAATCTATCTGCAATCCGTCTTCCATCAATTGCTAATCCAATTTCAGTTCATTTGTAATCCGTTTTGGTTCTTTGCTTCACAGGATATTTTCCCACCCAAACGTTTTACCAGTCGTCGGTGCAGTCACCAAATCACCGAATCTGATGACGATTTCCCAATACATGCCATATGGCTCACTGTTCGATATTCTTCATGAAGGAACTGGTTTGTGTCATCCGGATTTTTTATA